GAGGGGGAGGAGCGGACTCAGGTGCAAGCAGTAATTTCAAGGGGGAAGGAGAGAAATAGCGACAGAAGCTCTAGCCGCACCACAGTAACTAGGACTCCCCTGTCAAGCAGTTCTTCGTAGCGGCTGATAAGGATGCGTGTAGGTGAGAAAGATTGCTATATTGCTTTAATAAAGAATTGGAGAAAGTAGTAATTTTATACGTGCTCTGTTGCTTATAGACGAAGGGAATGAATAGCCGGAAATATTCTGGGATGTTATAAAATCAGAAGGACTTTCTGTACAGCGTGGTGATGCACGGCAGGAAATTAACTCCAAAGAGAATGCTTTCTCTCAAACTGCTGCAACGGAATTGAGAAAATTTTTCTTTTCTAGTATCTGAAATTCCTCCTGAAGACACAGCAAGGACTATCAAAAACATCAGAGAGATTCTGATACTTTTAAAGAGACTTAAAGCAAATGCCAGCGTAATATCTGAATGACCTTGGAGATCATTTGATGTGGATTCATTAATTCTCACTGCCAGTCTTCTAGTCTCAGGAACTCAAGGATTAAAGATGGTTTTAACATTTTAGGGGCCTTTCAAAAAGCAAGATTGTATACAATTAATTACCTGCCTAATGATTCCTGAACTAATCAAGCATTTACTTAAAACTGAACACAGAAGATGCTTTCTTTTAACGTTTGCTTTCTCCATAACTGCGAATAAAATGAACAAGGTAATGTCCTGCAATTAGAAGAACATTTTTTTAAAGCAGCTATTATGCTGATCGTCTAATAAATGTAGAAACCCTAAAACTACGTAGAAGATCAAGCTGAGTAACAGAATAATGGAGTAGTAAACAATGGCAGCTTTTCTAGTCAAATCAGCATTTCATTAGCTTCACAGCAGAATGCAGATGGAAGTTTCTGTTCTCATTGTACGGGGGGTTGTGAAATGATTCAGGTGTAGCTACAGAGGTGAGCAATAGCATGGATATACCTATGAACTCCTGGGTACTGAGCCACTGTAGCAGATATGGCAGAGTTTCCAAAGATTATTATTTTAAATTACCATTGCTGAAATTAAATTCAGGAGGATTTATTTTGTCTGTGGGGACCTTGAATTATGCTTCTGGCATTCATAATTGTAATGGACTATAACTGTTTGAAGGAATTGTGAATATTGACATAAGTCTCCAAATTCTATTCTTAAATTATTTTCATTTTTAAATGAATAGACACGATCTTCCTCATTGTATGTGAGATGTATGTTTTCTTTCTTGGGAGTCAGAGGACAAATCTGCCTTGTCCCCACCCAGCTCCCTCCACAAATAAAATTCATTATTCATACCCAAACAGTGGTGAGTCTATTGGAATTAACCTTGACAAAAATGTTTTCCTTACCTTTCCAATGAATAGCATCAATAAGATGGAGTACCATCTCCCGAATGGAGCCAGAAAAGACAGCATTAGATGGTGAACTTTTCCCTTTACTCTTCAGTCAGTCTATGATTTAAATTGAGACGTTGAAAAGATTACTTCCAGTAACTGCTGGTCCAGGAAACCTGAGCTGTACTGAGGTTCCTCCTTCCTTTCCTCCTTCTCACCCCATTATATTCCAAAGTAAATGACTTTCTCAGGAAAATAAGCAGTCAGAGATCCCCCCCCACACACCTTCCCTGGGAAATGAATGTGTCTCTTCAGTTTTTATTTCAGTATTTTACGGTACCTGTTTGTTTTTGAAGTGCCTTGTGTTTGCTAAAGATTGGTCAAGAGCACTGGAGGAGCTGATCAGTGGCCTTTCTCTTTCTGGCTTTTTTTTTTTTTTCCCCCTTTTTCTTTCTTTCTTTCTTCCTTTCTTTCTTTCCTTAAAGCTAAGGTGTGCCAGAGGTGATGCACTGATGCTGAGGAGGCATCAACAGCTATGGGACTGTAATCCTCTCAAATGTAAGCACTGGCAGTGTCTACAAAGAGAGATCGTGACACGCTGAAGCAGAGTTTAGCTGCTGTTAAGCAGGTCATCTGCTCGCTAAGGCTCAGATTGCAGTGTTCCCTAATCACAAAACATGAACCAGTCCCGATGGATTGAATGGAGGACTCTGAATATGAGCAGTAGTGTTATGAACATATCTGAGCATCTCTCCTGCCCTCTTGGATTTGGTCACTACAATGCAGTTGACATCTGTATCCTTGAGACAGTTGTTATTGTCTTGCTAACGTTTTTAATTATTGCGGGTAACTTAACTGTGATATTTGTTTTTCACTGTGCTCCACTTCTGCATCATTATACCACCAGCTATTTTATTCAGACCATGGCCTATGCTGATCTTTTTGTTGGAGTTAGCTGCTTGGTTCCTACTTTGTCACTGCTGCACTACTCGACAGGTGTCCACGAGTCCTTGACTTGTCAAGTTTTTGGATATATCATCTCTGTGCTCAAAAGCGTATCTATGGCATGTCTTGCTTGCATCAGTGTGGATCGCTATCTCGCTATAACAAAGCCTCTCTCCTATAATCAACTGGTCACACCTTGTCGCTTGAGAATCTGCATCATTTTGATCTGGATATACTCTTGTCTGATCTTCTTGCCTTCCTTTTTTGGTTGGGGAAAACCTGGTTACCATGGAGATATTTTTGAATGGTGTGCTACCTCCTGGCTAACTAATGCCTATTTTACTGGCTTTATCGTGTGCTTACTATACGCTCCTGCTGCCTTTGTCATATGTTTCACATATTTCCACATCTTTAAAATTTGCCGGCAGCACACCAAAGAGATAAATGATCGGAGAGCTCGATTTCCTAGCCACGAAGTGGATGCTGCTGGGGAGACTGGGCACGGCCCCGATCGCCGCTATGCCATGGTTTTGTTTCGGATAACTAGTGTGTTCTACATGCTGTGGCTCCCTTATATCATATACTTTCTCCTGGAGAGCTCTAGGGTGTTGGAAAACCCAGCACTTTCCTTCTTAACAACGTGGCTTGCTATAAGCAATAGTTTCTGCAACTGTGTGATATATAGCCTCTCCAACAGCGTTTTCAGGCTGGGACTGCGGAGACTGTCAGAGACAATATGTTCATCTTGTATGTGTTTAGAAGACAGGGATGTACGGGACCCTAAACCAAGAAAACGGGCTAATTCTTGCTCCATTTAAAGAAAACTGGCGCATGTAATCTAACATGGAGTTTTGATAGTATTTGCTGTATCTGGAAACTTGCCAAAAGAGAAATGTTTACTTGAATAGTTTGCTATGATGTTAGAGTGAGTTTAAAAGTGATTGCTGAAAAGGAAAAGGCTGCTGTAAGAGGGGTCACCGAACTTGAATATAGCTCTTGTGAAATTGTGAGGAGAGCAATTTGACAGAGACGACGAAGAAAGTCAGAGCTAAAAATCTTCCAAAGGGCATGAAATAACTACCATGTCAGAGGAGGTTCCTCATAAAATAAATAAGTTAGTTACTACCTTACATTTTCCCCCTTGTAGAAAAGTTGTCCTACTATCTTTGTGTCAGAATATACTGTAGCCTTCTGAATTTAAATATATTTAAGAGGAAACAATCAACAACACAGTAAGTGGCTATCCGTAAATTATATACCTGAGGACTATAGTAGATATTGCGGATTAATAATCAGCTCTATCTCTGCTCACATCTTGTACAATTTTCAGTTGTACAAAGAATCAGCAATGCATAAAACCTACACTGGGCATGACGCTTTTGGATAAAATGGCACATTTCGGTACCACTTTCACAGAAGCTCTCCCTCTCATTTCCCCTTTTTTTTTCCATGCTGTGCATCGCTAGGTTCCATCGCATCTAAGTGGTTTAGTTTGAGGGCACCTATGAGGTAAACTGAGTTTCAAACCATTCTTCCTGCAGAAAGCAGTAGCTCTTCCTGGCTGGCTGAGTAACTGCTGCTGCCCATGTACAATGACTTCTTCAATCTTTCATTCTCTTGATCCTGTTAAATTAGCACACAGTATCAATGTAGTGTCCTTTAGGGTGTACTAAAGCTTTTCCTTTATTGGCTACACAGATAATCCTAATGCAAATATGATAATCGCACACAGCAGTGTGCATCACTGCTTAGAAAATTAAAACTAACTAACCTTTTCTTTGGGAAGTCTAAATAGCTTACTGTTGTAGCTGTCAATCCGTTGTGTGAACCTAGCTTGCACATACTGTATTTTTTTTAGAGAAAATGTAAATTGTGGTCTGTGCCTAATGTTTTCATAGCACATGGAATAGGTCAATGCTACAGGATTAAAAAATTACACTTGCTTTAAGAGAAATACTTCTGTGCAGTTGTTGAATAGCTGTTTGTTAGACAAGTGTTCTTGGTGGAGGAGAACAAGACCGTTTAGTATTAAATACAGGCAAAGACCTTCAGTATTTCCTTTTGTACTGAACTGATTTTCAGGTCCGCTGATGAAATCTTTTTTATTTTGCAGGGGCGCACATTAGGTTTGTGTAATAAATTGCCAGGGGTTCAGATGCATGCCAATCGATAAAATATTTAAATTATTATTTTGAACCAAATGTAATTTTCTTAGATGGTTATTGGCTTTTAAAAAAGGCCCAATTATTGGTGCCTTTTAACACTGCACTATTACTTCTTCTTTCACCAAAATGCATATGTAAAGATCGTGCCTATTACTTTTTGTAATGGAAGCTAACCACGCTTGCACACTTGTGGTTTGACTCTAGATCTCCCTTAATTATGTATTCTTTGTTCTGTTGAGGTGGTTCTGAACCCCTGTACATTTTTTAAACCTGTAAGAAAGTTGAAACAATGGAATAAAGTAGTATTATGTATATCAACACCAGCCTTGGCTTTAGTTCCCTGATGTTACGCTCCATTCTCTGTGAAAGTTCTTCTGGGTTAGGACTCAAGAGTGAATGGTTTAAAATCCAAACCTCAAAGCTGCTTACTTGCCGTCTTAAACATTTATATACCGGTTTCTAGCATTGCGCAATCTTTAAAGCAGATTGAAATACGACTTGAAACATTCCTCTAGCTAAGCTGAGCTGTTGCTGACAATTAGCCCTGATAGATATTATGGAAAAATGACTAGTATTCTTTGCACGTATCTCGTAATGCTCCATGTCTACAGGAATGTGTCTGCTGCCTTCTTTTGAAAAGTTGCTGTTTATTTCAGAAGGCTCTTTTTGGCTGACTGCTGCTCTATAAGGTTGTGTAACCCCGTCTCTTCCTACAAAGACGACTTGGATTCTTTTTGTTTTGTCATTGTTTCCTACTTAGTAGGTCCTCAGCGTGCAAGACGTAGACAAGGAACAATGAAATATCTCATTTCTCGCAACTCATGGTGCTGGTTTCATACCAGTAAAGTAGTTTTATTTCTGTGCTCCAGAGCTGGCCACTTACCGCTTCTGGTTTTCATTCCTGGTAACGAGTTTCTGTGGGACCTCCTGAAACTCAAGAAAAGTTCTAGAAAATGCTTGAAGTTGAACTAACCTTTTATTAAAATCAAGCAATACAGCCTGGAGGCAGTAGATGCATTGTTAGCGTGGTACTGTAACTACAAATATGTAGAAATACACAAGCTAACTCATTTGTATCGGTAGTGCCTTAGTTGAACCCTGCTTGTATAACCTCAGCAAACGGAGTCGATGTACAGCAACCTGAAGCTTTATTGCCTGCAAACGGTAGGTCAGAAAGAGAGCTTCACTTCAGAGGCTGCAGCACAAGGTTTACTCACTAGCCCACTGGCTTCTTGCCCTAAAGGGCAGAGTTAGCAATACTTTTCTCTCTACCATCGTGTTGCGCTTGTGGAGTTGTCAGGTGGGACTGAAGGTTTTCTTTTTCCTCAGGCTGTCGTTGGAGGGAGAATATAGTAGAAATCTAGTACCCTGTAAACAAATCATACATTCCTAGGTTCTTTGCCATTTTTGGGGGCTTTGTTTCTTAAACACTGGCTTAACATTTTCGGTGCAAGAATGCCAATTTGCTTATCTGGACCCCGAATTTCAGTTGCTGTAAAGTCATACTTCAGCCTATTCTCTGTAAATCTGAGTCTCCTGGTCTCCTAGAATCTGTCAAATTAAACATCCTCAGCAGGGTTAAATACTGTGTTTCTTCTCACTGTTTGCAAGATGACAGGCTTTGACCTGGGGTCAGTCATGCAAATTTTTAAATTTAGTAAGTGTGTTTCATTTTTTGAAAGTATTTTCTAAACTCATGATTTAAAATTTTATTTGAGGGAGGTTTGTTGTTGTTTTACTAATGCTGTCTGAGGATTCCAGCTGGTGCTAAATTCTCTTCCAAAATTATAAGGCTGGACATATTAATGGCTAAAAACAGTCCAATAGAAATTTCAGTCACCCAGTCTGTCACTTTTGATTATCATTCTGTCATTATATAAAGTCTCACATTCTTGTATGAACATCTGCTTAAAGAATGAGACTTAAAGCTGGCATCTGGACTATATAATCCACTTTCATGTGCCTAAAGATCTTTATGATTTATGAAATACCTAGTAAATAGGTGACCAGACACTGACCAATGAAATCGACATGATAAAATCATTGTTGATAATACAGGTAATAATAAAGTCTCTCCATATACAAATGCATTGAGGGAGTTGCTAAAACTCTAGGTTCCTTTAAAAAAAAAAAAAAAAGTAGCCATGAGAAGAAAACATATGTAAAATATTAAATAAAAAGGTTAAAGTGAAGAGATGTGCCTAGTAGGTAAGCAAAACAAATATATATATATATGTGTGTGTGTGTGTATATATATATATAAACCCCTCCTTTGTGCAGGTAGATTATGTTGTGCCGTTACATTTCTCTTGAATACTTATGCTTGTAGTGTAACAGAGGCTATGCCAAGGTTGATTGCGTTACTGTTTTTGGAATCTTATGTCTTCAGCCTAAGGAAAAGTCAAAAAAATTTGTGTAATGGCAGCCAAAACGCTACCAGAAAAGTAATTTTTTCTTCACCAAATTCTGTGTGCTTCCTTATTTTCTGGAACAGCTAAGTGAATTTCTCCTTAAAATACTATTCTTTAAAGGGAAAGAAAACTGTAGTAATAAAAAGCACAATGCTGTGTTTTAAAAGTTTACTTATTGTCTTACATTAAGATTCCCCCCCCATTTCTGCTTAAGAATCCATTTTGTAATTGTACTTGGTAAAGCATGAGGTATCATGGTAGATTTATTTTTGTGCAGTCTTTGTGCTTCGTCTACTGAAAATTTTGGAGTGTTTTGCTTTATTGAGCCACCTTTCATAGATACAGGTTATTAAAACCTTTTAAAAATAGCATTTACATTGTTTTTACTATTATTTTTAATTCATTAGTTTTTGACAACTGAATATCCATAAGCACACTTAGTTTTCATGGTCAGCAAAATTAATAAGAAGTCCTTTTTGGGGTAAAATAACCTACCAGTCAGTATTAACAATTGGCTGTTGAGAAAAGTATATTAATGTAATGATTAGTTATTTCATTAGCTATTTCATCTTGCATATGAAAAATTAAGTTTAGCTATTAAAAAATGATAGTTGCAACAGGATATCAAGTTGATGAGAAATGTATCAGATCTTACACTCTCACAGTTGGTTCTCCACATGAAACTATTTTATCTTTCCATATTACAGTTGTAGCCAAACAAATGAATATATGGATTTTTTTAATGCTGCTACTTGAATGCTGAGGATCTATATCTCTCAATCCAAGCCGCTGCTCATGGTGGGAATATCCATTTAACAGATCTCAAACTCAGTTGCAGCATGCCTAGCAACATGATGGTCCTGGAGCAGACTTTGCCAAGGAGAAGTGCCAGAGGTTCACAAGGCCAGCATTGCTGCGGGGGAAGAATGGCAGTGGCCTCCCCGGCCATCCTCCAGGGTCAGCTAATTTGCAGGTCTTTCAGTTTTATTGTCGCTGTCACCAAAAGGATAAGTTTAAGCCTTTGACTTCATCCCCTCCCATTACCTCTGTCTCTCTTTAGGCTGTTTTATGGATGGAGTGGTGCATCATTCTACTAAAGAACTGAATTAGATTTATTTTGTTGGGGTTTTTTTTTGATAAAAAATATTTTATCTATGTCATTTGAATGGCAAAACCAAACATTACTTTGTTAACTAGATGCTGATTAATTTTTAGGCCTTTCCAGAAATGGAAGCGTCACTG